TTTTGCGGTACGTGGGCCTCTCACTGTTGTGGCCTCTCCCGTTGCGGAGCACAGGCTCCGGACGCACAGGCTCAGCAGCCATGGCTCACGGGCTTAGCCGCTCTGCGGCATGTGGGTTCTTCCCGGACTGGGGCACAAACCCTTGTCCCCTGCATCGGCAGGCGGACTCTCAACCATTGCGCCACCAGGGAAGCCCTCCAACTGTCATTTATATTTCAACTTTAATTTGATAAAACATTTGATTGCATGTGGACAGGAACAAGGAGGGAAGAGGGCCCTGTATCTGGATGAAGTGGATATATGCTCCCTCCTGCAAGGTACCAACCAAAATAAGAACCATATTTGATGACACTAGGACTGCAAGCAGTATATAAATAATATGTAATTTCATTTAATATAATAATATTTAAAAATATGAGTTGAGTGATAATTTTTCTAGCTGTTAGTTTTGCCAAATACCAATGTAGAAATTAGCCTTCTGCAGCTGCAGAGGCAACTGAATTTCCAGCTTGCTTGTATGCGGCTCAGTCCCTCTTTTAACAACCATAAAATGGCCCGAACATCACTGACCCACAACTCTCAAAATCACCTAAACTAGAGATAATCCAACAGCTTTGGACCATCTGCTGAGGGAGGCAGGCAGCATGGCAGGAAGAGTCTTGCGCTGGAGAGACAAGAGACTCAAGGCCTGGTGTTGACTTGCTGCTAACTCACAAGTCATCTTGGGTGAGTCCCTTCCCCCTTGCAGATTACTGTAAGATGAGAGGTAAGGGGTCCAAACTTAAACACCTTCAGGGGGCAGGTAATACCAGTGAGTGAAATGGGCCAGGACCAAGACAATGGAGAATAGTGAGGACTGGGGAAAGTTGAGAGTTCATGCCTTTGTAAAGGGATAGCCACTCCTCAGCTCTTGCAGATTGTTTTATCAGGGTTGCTGAGAACAGTTATGAAGTTTGTGCACTGCACAAGGACACTATTTCAGAGGACATGTCATTCACATCATAGATGTAGATATTTTCTGTAGAGGGTTTTGAGGAAAGGATACCTTCTAACTTGCACGAAGGTGTTATATGGGCTTTCAGAAGCCCTAGTTACCATGTGGGAATACAGTTCTAATGTTGCCGGATCTGTTGTTGTTATTTTTGAGAAGCTGGAAATATGGCTTTTAATGTAAAATGTCCCTAATTTAAAATTAGGTGGAAACTAATTCCAAAACATATTTGACATTGTGTGAGCTAACCAAAACTCTTCTGGAGGTCAGATTCAGGCTATAAGTTGAAGATCTCTGACCCAGAAGAACTGTAAGTTACTGACATTTCAGAGACCCTCCTGTTCTATGTACCTCGTATAATTTTGAAGGAATCATAAATAAATAGTAATTACCTGGGTAAATTGTATGGATGTAACAGGAATTATATGGATATAAAAAGTAAAAGTGCATCCTTTGAATGATGGTATGTATAACATTCTCCCTACTTATCATCTGGTTAACTTTAATTCATCCTTTCTTATTACAAGTGTTATTTCTCCAGAGAGAGCTTCCTAAGACTTTCACCTCAATTAGGTTCCCCTCTTACAATTTCTTAAAACACCTTCCTTTACTAAATGAATTCTTCAACTTTGTATCTTAAGATAGTCACTTGTGTGAATGTTTGCTTACCGTCTGCTCACCATTTGATGGAGAGTATGTCTTCGTTAACCGTTGTAACCCCAGTGGGGCTATTGCTGGTACATATCAGGCATCCAATGTAGATATATTGAATGATGGATTAGTCTCCACCTCATCAGTAAAACATCCTTTCTTCTTGGAAATCTCTGACTGAACTTGCTGCCTGGTGTTTGACTTCTGCATTCCAGTACTTGGAGGACGTCTGGTTTCCATTTCTGAGCAGGGTCTCTGGTGTGTCCCTCTCCCTGACATAACTCCTGAGCCAGAGAAGAGAGCCAGTTCAAGGCAGTGATGTTCAGGACATCCATGCTTGGTTCGTGGCTAAAACCCACCTAGATGGGGGTTGGAGGACACATAATTCAGGTAACACACACCAAGACATGTTAGAAAGTCCACTTCACCTTGGATGCTGGGGTAGAGGGGGAGAGTTTTCAGCCCATAATTAAATTCTGCTCCCTGTACATATTTTGCATTCTTATTTTATTTTATATGAGTAACAAGATCATTATGATGCCAACTAATAGGCCAGCCCTCCTGCAGATTTACTGAAGAAATCTGGTAGCTTTCCAAGGCAAACTGCGTTTTTTGACGTTGAAAATAATTCTTTAAGGATCATCCTCAAGTTCCCAAAACATCAGCTAAAGCAGTTGATTCCAAAAAGTAGCTAAACACAGATGAAGCTAATGATTGTGGGAGAAACCGCAGAAGGAGAAGGAAAACCAGTATCACACAAAGATAACCTGTCAAGGAGTAAAAGAGAAAATGAAAGGCAGGAGCAGAGAAAGGAAGGTTAAGTAAGAAAGAGAAGCAAGGAGTGTTCTGGAAGAGGACATCATCAGGAGGAGGGTGTCCATCCAAAGCTCCAGCTCCAGCTCTTTCAGTCTCTGTCCCATGCTCATGTTCAAGTCCAGCTGTAAGTAGTCCTCGGTCTGACCGTAGGCCGGCCACAGGGGCAGGCCTTCCCCATTAGGATTCCTGGAAGTGAGAGATTTTCAGCCTCAAACACCTGGTTACGGAGGAAGCTGGGAGGTTCACTTACCCAGTCCGAGCAAAGTTAGCCCAATATCTCATCGTGTTCCTGCTCAGCCGTTTCTCTTCCTCTGTAGCTCCTTCTGAAGGAGATAAGCACAAAATCCCGCTCTCACAATGATTCGCCAGAAGCCCAAGGGGTCTCACATTGGATGAATCACTTTCACAGCTTTCCTCCCATTTCATCCTTAACAGCCTACCAAGTCACTGCACTCATCACGTATTTGCAGATACTGACTTGCCTGAAGAATCATGATTCCAAATGGTGGAGGCTGAACACACATCTTCCCTGACCATCCAACGCTCTT